TTAGCGGTGGTTCCTCAGACACAGGTGATAGACTTCTTGAGTCTCAAGCTGGAGATGAGGGACAGCCGGGAATGAGAAGCACGCCGGACAAGGAGGCGAGAGCTAGACGCACGGAAGTCCGCTACAAGAAGCGGAAACTTGAAGTGAGAATGCTACAGGACAGACTAAATACGTTGCGCAGCCACATGTGTTTGTGGGTGATTCATCGGAATAAGTTTAAGGAACAGCAGCGCAAGAACTACATTGCGTCAGTAAAAGCCCATTTCATGGGGATTAATAAACGGTGTTGGTTTACTTGAAGTGCGAATGCTACAGGACTTGAGACTAAATACGTTACGCAGCCACATGGGTTTGCGTGCGATTCAACGGCATAAGTTTAAGGAACAGCAGCATAAGAACTACATTGCGTCAGTACAGGCCCTTTTCATGGTGATTAGGTGTGGGTCAATTGGCCAATGCGGCTGAGCTGGACGATGCAGACGAGAATGTATTACCTCGATTGCATGATTCGTTAGCGGAAGTAGACGTGTCAGTAGGCGCGACAACGATATCTACGGTTAAGGAGGTAGATTCACAGGCGCATCTGGAGTTTGATCAGTCACAGCTGAGGAAGCTCTACAAGGAATGCGGGCTTCCGAAACGTGAGCAATGCCATGACTAAGGACATTCAGTCTGCGGCGTACAACGCCGCTGCCCCCGCCGTTACGATTTTTGATGACATTTGTTTCCGAGAGGGGTTTGAATTCAAAGTAAAAGATGGGCCTAAGCCGTGCTACAAAGTTTACCCTAACAAGGATTCTACATTTATTACGGTATTAGGTGTTAAGGTTGGGGGACTGGGATTATGGCGGCGTTACTCGAGTGATATCGGAGGCTCAAGCGAAGGGAACTGTGCGATGCCGCACATGGTCTTCAAGAGGCCAGGTTTTGTACCGTTATCGATCACCGATTGGCGATGTTACATCAACTACAAGAAGTGCAATGACACAATGGACTGCGAGGAATACCCGGTGCCCACAGAGCAGGAGTTCTGGTCGTCGGTACGAGGAGAGAAGTACCATACTATAGTAGATCTTGGGCAAGGCTTTTGCCAGCTCAAGAATGAGGAAGACTCGCAGCACTTGCTGACGTTCTGGGAAAGCGCACGTTCGCGGGCATGCCGTTTGGCATCAAGCCTGCGTCTTGGGTCATGCAGCAGAGGATGGAGCATGCCTTCCAGAGTGTCGAGGGCCTTAAGACATACATCGATGAGAAGGGAGTTGGCGACAATGAAGCCAAGAAGTACTGGAAGAGCGTTAAGGCTTTGATTGCGGCGTGCAAGAAGCACAACGTCAAGCTGAACATGAAGAAGTGCTGTTTGGTTTCTCAGACCGACCGGTTCTGGCGTTAGGAAGGTTGTATGATGAGGAAGGATCAGCCATCAGCCAAGATAGGATGGAATCTATCTTGCGCATGCCACCACCTACAGCCAAGGACCTCATAGCGTCCTGGTCCTGGTAGTATACGGTTGGCTATTGAAGCCAGTATATTGCAGATTATTTCATATCATGGCACCCATCTCAAATCTCTCCAAGAAGGATGTCCCCTTTGCGTTGACCGTATCCGCGCTGAGGGTGGCTAAAAGGGATGTTCTGGTCGAACCTAGGTGGTGGAAGGAGAAGCTGTGCCCAGTACGGTTTTGGTCTTCGAAGTTCAGCCCAGCGCAACTAGGCTACCACATCACGGATAAGGAGACCTTAGCCATTGTGTATTGTTTACACAAGTCGTGGCACATCGTCAAGAGGTCGCAACATCCGCTCACGATCTTCACGGATTCTGAGCCGCCGGTAACGGTGTTAACGAAGGATCCGTTACGACTCATCGATATGAGGTCGAAGGATGACCTGGTATACACAGGTGTTGAGAGACTTTGATATAGCACTCAAGCACATACCGGTGAGCTGAATCTTGTGGCCTATGTGCAGTCTCGCTTAGGCATCATATTGATCCAATAATGCAGGCGCGTGGTGCGTCAGTACAGGATCGGGTACACTGGAGTGATCCGGTGGTTTTGGAGCCTAAGACAGATTCCTATGCTTTAAGTAAGAGTTGGTTTACTAAGATAAGAGACAGGTTTGGTCCGTTTGATGCGGAAGGGGTTGCTCATCCGACTAAATATAGGATGAAGCCGCTCTACCACTCACGGTGGCCAAAGATGTGTTTGCTTTACGCACATGGATGGGTACCAGGTGGTACTTCAACCCGAAGTGGTCGGGCGTAGGTAGGGTGGTGGCAAGAATCAGGAGAGACAAAGCAACGACTACCTTGGTGAGTCCATATGCTCCTGTAAGGAGCTGGTTCCACCTCTTTCGGCTGATCCGGTTGTGATCTACCCAAAGAAATGTGCCTTTCTGAAGCATGGGCGTGAGCCCATGCTGGTACCTGACTTTGTGACACTGGGGTGTCATATGAGTCCTTGCAGACCGCACAACTTGCGCAAGGGCTTTTGGGAGAAGCTGGAGACCAAGCGTCCCGTCTTCGAGAGGCTAACTGCGGCCGCAGTAAAATGTGAGAATGAGGTTGTCTCCTGCATGGTACAGAAGAACAAAGCAGGTGCTGTGACTCATCCGAGTGGTAAGAGGGTTAAGGTATGGGATCCCTGCAGAGGAAGCAGGGTAGAAACCACACCCATCTCTGCGGTAAGTGCGCTTTCCACCCAATCATGGCGGGATAGCAGTGAGGTACTGCACCAGTCAGTGCGGAAAGCAGAAGCCTATCTGGAAATGTTGGCAAGCCC